TTTTTAATGTTTCAAAAAAGTACCTCAGATGTGTGTAACTTCTAATTTGTGCTGATTTATATTTAAGGTAACAATTCAATACATAGGCTAAAATCATATTTATTAATATTAATAACATGACAATATCTTAGTTAATACATACCCAGCTAGGGAAAAAAAAAATATATATATATATAAAAGCACTGATGTTCATTTACTGAAGTGGTATTCAGGACCTGTGAATAAATTACTGAAAAAATTACTGCAAAATAATAATAATAATTTCATCACGGCTATAATAACATCCTCAACAAATAAAAAATAGATAATAAAGTTTGATTAATATGTACGTACAGTACCGGTCAAAAGTTGACATTTCAGTTTTTAATGTTTTTGAAAGAAGTCTCTTATGCTCATCAAGCTGTACATTTATTTGATCAAAAATACAGAAAAAACAGTAATATTGTGAAACAGAAAAGAAAAAAAAATTATAGTTCTTTCTGTATTTCTGATCAAACACACAGGTAACAGGGTGGATCTCAAGAAAACATGCTCAGGTCATATTTCATAGGGAAAAAAAGAAAGAAGCCTTTTTATTCTTATTATATTTTCATTACTATAAATGGTTAATTTTAAATATAACATTTAAATCAGCATAAATTAAAGGCATTATTTATTACCATAAGGTTTTTCTTACAATACAATTTAAACAATACATCTGAATACATATATTTTGAAATTTTTTATTCATATTGGTTTGCATTGAATTAATTGTCATGAAATTAATGACAATGCAAAACAAATAAAAAAATATTTTATAATAAATAAATAGAATTAATATGAATTTGGGGGATAAAATGTACTGTACAAAAATGGTTAATGGTTTTAAAAATAGTAAAATACATATATTTTTAAATAGAAAAATATTTAGAATTTCAATTTTGATATATAGTTCATTATATTCTCTTTCATTAGTATACAACATTAATTATAAATACTACATGTTTATCTACATCAGCATAAATTAAATGCATTACATACTACTATAATGTTTATTTTTTACGTTTAATATATATTCTGATAATATTCTATTGCAATTTATATGTTTTTAATAATACTTTTTTTTACATTAAATTAACGGAAATTTGGTGATTAAATGTGCTTTATTATAATAATGACAATACAGCATTAATTTTCTTAATGTAAAATATTATTTTTATTTATATTATAATTTATTATAAAGTAATTTTTATTCTTGTTAGATTTCCATTAATATAAACATTAATTATAAATTTTACACACAGATGTTTGCATAAGCATAAAGACATCAAATATTACCATGTTTATTTTTTACAAAACAATTTAAGTAATATATGCAAAATAGCATTAAATTAGTGAGAATATTAAATAGTATTTTTCCATCAAAGCCATCAACACAATGTCTAATGAGGCAAAATGACTGGATATGAAGCTCTTTTGAAGTCTAATAAGTCTTTTTAGTCATATTTGTAGTGATGCCTAATGACAGTGTGTCCCTCTAGTGGCGTCAGCGACACATTACACACACACTCACACACACACAAACACTCACACACAAACACACACACTCAAACACTCACACACAAACACTCACACACACACACACAAACACTCACACACACACACA